ATAACCAGGCCTCGGTAGGATCTACCAAAACTCTTCAATCAAATGAGGGGGCATCACAGTATGACCATATGTTGAGAGCAGAACTTTAATAAGGCAGAGGTTTCTTTCAGATTTGCCATTTGTTTCGAGTCACGTGTATTCAACTTCGCCTGAACAACAGCCAACTGCCCTTGTTTGATCATCCATTAATGACTTGATCCTGCGAAACATTTAAGAGCAATCGCCACATATCTGTTCATGACTGGGTTCATTTCGACGAGACTGATACTCTCCGATGATCGTTTATTTAGGCTCTCCTTCATCATCGTCTTCTTCATCTTCCGTCACCGCCTCTCCTTTCGGGTCGCGGAGGCAGACGCCTCAGACAGGGCATACAACTCTCCCGATCCTCTGTTAGAGTCTGAGCTTCGGCAGAATACTACTGGAGGGTGAAACAGACTACTTCACTATATATCCACCAGGTTAATCTTCTCCCAGGCCTTCTGCTGGTCGGAGGAAACAGTTCCTCAGTCTTCCTTTCTGGAGGCATTCAGAACACATGCCCAAACCATCGCAGCTGTGACTTCTCAATCTGGAGAAGCAGAGGATGTATACCAAGGCCCTCAATATTTTGGACCATCTCGATACTCGCAAGGTCAGCGAATCGTCTAAGAAAGCCCATTACAGCAGCATGTAACCCGGTTCGAAGCTTTTCAGTGATGGTCCACGACTCATGACCGTAGGCAAGCATGGAGATAAAAATCGACTTGAGTACCGCGAGCGTAGTCTGCAGACTGAGCTCTGGTTCAGTCACCATGGATCAGGCTAGTTCACTCAGAACTCCACTGGCGACTCCAATTCGCCGGTCGATCTCTTCCTCTGATCACTAGTAAATACAGTTCCGAGGTACTTGAACTTCTCCACCTGCTTCACTGCCTCTCCGTTAATCTGAAGAGAGCAACGGGCAGGAGAACGAGAAACAACTAGGTTTTTCGTTTTAGATGCGCTCACGTCGCGCTCGACTGCGAGCATTTCTAGATGACAATGAAGATCTATTTCAGAAGATGCTAATAAAACAAGGTCGTCTGGAAACAGCGAACCTCTCGTCTTCACATCTCGTACTGCAATACACTCATCGCCTTGGTTACTCCTTAAAATTCTACGTATGCACAACAAAAACAGGAGGGGGCACAGGACGCAGC